AGGAGATAGTGAAGAGGAAATTCTCCAGACAAAGCAGAATTTATCAGTTCGCTTCCAGATGAAAGAGCTTGGACAGCTTAAGCACTTTCTTGGTCTTGAAATTGACCGTACACAAGAAAGTATCTTTCTTCATCAGCAGAAATATTGCAAAGATTTACTGAAGAAATTTGGAATGCACGATTGCAAGCCAATATCGACACCTATGGAGTCAAACGCCAAGTTATGTGCAAATGATGGAAAAGAATTGAAAGATGCAACGATGTATCGTCAATTAGTGGGTAGTTTGATATATCTGGCTCAAACAATACCAGACATCTCCTATGCGGTCGGTGTGATGAGTCGGTATATGCGAAACCCAAAGAAGCCTCATTTGGAAGCAGTTAGAAGAATCTTGAGATATGTCAAGGGTACACTTGACAACGGAATTCTGTACAAGAGAGGTGAAGACTGCAGATTAGTTGGCTACTGTGATGCTGACTATGCAGGTGATCATGATACCCGACGTTCAACTACTGGGTATGTTTTTAAACTCGGATCTGGAGCAGTTTCCTGGTGCAGTAAAAGGCAACCAACGGTGTCTTTGTCCACAACAGAAGCAGAGTATCGAGCTGCAGCAGTGGCAGCTCAAGAGAGCACTTGGCTTGTGCAGCTGTTGAAGGGTTTACATCAGTCAGCTGATTATGCAATTCCTTTGTATTGTGATAATCAATCAGCAATACATTTGGTTGAGAATCCCGTGTTTCATGCGAGGACTAAACACGTGGAGGTTCATTATCACTTTATCAGGGAAAAAGTTCTTGAAGAAGAAGTGGAGCTGAGGCAGGTGAAGACTAAAGATCAAGTCGCAGATGTGTTCACAAAAGGCTTGAGTGGAAACAAGTTTGAACGCTTTTGTATCAGCTCGGTATGGTAGAAAGAGCGGGAGTTGGTGTTGAGGGGGAGTGTTAAAGATCAACACCACTAAATTAAATCTAGGTTGTTATTATCTAGATTTGGTCTTAGGTTGTTATTATTTAAAATATCTAGATTAGATATTAGTTAGCTTTATTTATTTTTCAAAGTTTGAAGGAGATTGTTAGTTTCCTAATTTCTAGGTTAGTTATTAATTTTGTAGCCTATATAAAGGCCCTACTTTCTAATGGAAAAAGCATCCCAAGCATTAGAGCTTTCTAGAATTTCTCTCTGAGTATTCTAAGAGTGTATTCTCTCTATTCTAGTTTGTTGTCTTGTTAGTCTTTGTGAGTTTTCTATCTTTCTCAACTCGGGTTCTGCGCAATCTGCCTGTGCGAGTTAATCTTGCTTAGTCACAGCACAGTCTGCCTGTGTAACGAGGTTGGTAGTGTGGAAGGTTAGTGCTTAGTGCTGCGCATAGTTCAACATCTCTTTCTTCTGATTCGCCGGCAAAAGACGAGGAAGCTTTAGCTGCTGCTGCTGCCGCCGCACCTGGGGTAGATCAAGGGGTTTGCGGGTTTGTCCGCCACGCGCCTTTTGCCAATCCTTCGCTCGGGTAGGCAGGCTTTTTTTTTGGGGGGGCTCTACTTTTCGCCTTGCTTTTCTACACTAACGCATCCAATCAGCCCAGCTGTCCCTACTCCCTGAAACGACAATTCTTTATGTTTCGTTTTAGTCCACCTCAAGCTTTATTTTCGTACTCTTCAGTCCTTATATTTATCCTTTCTATTTTTTTTTTGGTATATCAAAAATTGGAAATTATCTTTTCTTTTCTAGAAGGAATTATTGAATTCTCCTTATTAATGCAACACGAGTTTTTTTTTCCCTTTTTGCTCAATTGCAAGCTAATGTTTACGAAAATATCTTAAACTTACTAGCTTAGAAACATTGAGACTGTTTTTTTTTATATTAGAAAGTTTCGGTTGAGGAAAAGCTCCCCATAAAAGGATAAGAACATTGAGACTTTTGATATATATGTTAGATAAGTACCAACAGATATTTTCTTTTAACCAATCTATGCACCAAATAGGTTTATATAATATATAATCAAATAGTTTTGCAAGATATCCAAGAAATTTACTACAATGCATAATCTATTTAATCTTCTTTTCGTCAAAAAAAAATCTATTTAATCTTTTACATGTTAATGTGCAAACGTTGCGCAAAGAAATTGCCATATAGTTCTTTTTATTCTTTATTTGACTTGATTCTACACTTATGGCTGTGATTAAAAGAAATAATATCTATCATACATCCTCTCAATCATAAACAAGAATAACTGGCAATAGGGTAATTCATAACCTAGTACCCTCTAGTGTCTTCCTTTGAGTTCTCTCTAATGAGCAGTGAAACCCTAATTTTCAATAGAAAAATCTTAGATCTATATGTGTATCTTTCCATTTTCACCATAATAAACCCACCAAAACATTAGAGTGACTTATGTTTGTTATTGAAACTACTGAATTTGTGATAGAATAGCCAGTTAAGGGGCTTAGTTCCTCCTTGTGGCGGCTGTTGTAGAGAGTAAGAGTTGAGTAAAGTGCTTGTAGTGCAAAGTAGATTATATAAGTGCAATGAATTCCAGGTTACTAGAGTTCAATCTAACAAAGGAAGACTTTGTAGTGCGATTCGGTGCAGATCCTGTCGCCAATGAAGAGGAAGTCCTTGAGGAGACCATGGGCGACATGATCAATCGCACGTGTCTGGTTGGAAAGGTGTATTCATAGAGGATGTTCTCGGCCGGAACCTTCAAATACAATTTGACTAAAGTGTGGAGCATCTAAGGGGATTTCAAAGTCATCGATAGAGATAATACTCTTCCTTGTTGGCTTCGAGTTTGAGGAAGATTACGACAAAGTTCTAAGAGGTACGCCATGGCTTATGGCCAATGCCTACACTAATTTTCAGAGATGGCTTCCCCAACTATCCCTGAATTAAGTACCTCTTAGATTGTCGTTATTTTGGATTAAGTTGGGTGATCTCGTAATTATATGGGTATGAGACTGTATAATTAAGAATACCTCAAATAAAGTGATTTCGAGGTTGTATGGGTGTGGGACTGTATAATTAAAGATAGCTTAAATGGCTTGATGGGTACTAACTATATCAACAAGGTGCACTTACCTTTTCGGTGCTCATTCCATAAAAACTCCAAAGTTAAACGTGCTTGAGTTGGAGCAATTCTGGAATGGGTGATCTCCTAGGAAGTTTTTCACAAAAATGTGGTGAAAGTCATCAAGCCGGAACGTTACAATAATGCACAAAAAGTAGGAAGTTTGTCTTCAAGATGGATAGCTATATTTATATATGATGATATGTAGATTCATTGGATCCACGTGTCACCTGCATAATAAATAAACATGGGCTTGGGAGATCCTGTGTATCTGTATCCCGAGGTATTTTGTTGTCTCAATCATCATAGTGTATGATATAATGTGTTTATGATAGAAGTTGCTCAATGGGTGAATGAGTATTGTACCTTGAACTCAAGGAGTTTTGACCTTATATAGCTATTTAGAAGCATATTTGAGAAGATTTGGCTCGATTCAAAGAGATATGAAGTCTCACCCAAAACCAAATACTGATCAACGAGGATCCTAACAGGTGAATCGAGGCCCAAAATGCTCAATCTAAGCACAGATTTAGTTATAATTAATCCGACCTCTTCAGATTGCATTGTTAGATTTTTTATATGTTTGAATACACAATAAAAAAATATTGGTCAAACTTCAAACTTTATTAATTACAGTGTTCATAAAGTAAGCGCACTTTTATCACTCAAATTTAGTTGTAAATGATGAAGTTTTTTTTATGCTAATTGAGAAAAATGATGAAATTTATCTCTCCCAAAAAAAATTGTAATTCAAGAAGAAAAGGTTAGAAAGCTAAGTGTTTTGTAACAAGTGTCCAGTGTCTACCTAGATACTACGCCCACACTTAATCCACTATTTTGTGGGCTATCGAAAAATAACCTCATATGTGGGACCAATGCACAAGTTGTCGATGCTATGGTAATTCTTTTTTTTTTTATCAACAACAAAATACGTTTCCATTAACGGAACAAAGCACCATAACCACACTCTTCTCAAATAACAACATATTGTAGCTCCACAAGCCTGAAGTGCTTTCCCATGGATGGCTTCAAACATAAATTCAGAAATATTTGATTTTTCAAAGAAAATTGCAACAGAGGGAAGGTATCCTCCACAATCTCCAGGATATGACCATGGTATTTCTTACCAATCGAACTTTGAAGCATAGTGGAAGAAACGAGAACAACTAGGAAGAAGAGATTAAATGAAGCCATTTCCCAGATATCTCTTCCATGAAACACCAGCATATCTACAAAAATTGGAGAACAAATATTGCAAATATAGCCGGGATCTGGGAGAGAAGTTAGCAGGAGAACCTTTTGTGCAGATCTTTGAGAAGAAAGCCATACAAAAGTCATCCAAAACAAGTACTCCATTAACATAAGAAGCCATCAATGGAGAGGAAGACCTCATGAAGAGGTAGAAAATCAAATTCAGACCCATATCTGAATTGGTAGAGTTATTAAGCCGACTAAAATAGAAAAAAGGGCTAAAATAATAAAAAGAAAAGAGGAAAATGGAGAGGTTGCGTGAAGGCAACCCCCCAAGGAGACACCAAGACGGCTAGGGTCTTTTTGGTTGAGAGGAAAAGGAAGAGTCGAGAGAGGAAAAAGAGTTCTTTGATATTATGGTAATTCTATGTAAATAAAATCTTAAAATCTTGAAAATAGATTGCCATATTAGGCAAAATTTCATTGAACACACTCTAACTTTTTTTTTTTGCTTGAAAAAAAAAAGGCATCAGTGGTGTCATCATCGCCCCGTCGGTCCAGGCCCCGGTCAATACCGGTTACATCCTGGCATTAGACACTCCTCATAGGAGAGACCGCCCAACCGGGGCACCAGTGGACACCCTCACCTGCTACGCGTCATAATACCGGGAATCACCGGGCTCAATGGCCAGCACCCCACCGTGTGGAAGGCCATATTCGGCCGCATCACACTATGGGGCTTGACTGGAAGCGCCGGGACTCGAACCCGAGTCTTAAAGATGGCAGGTTGAAGGCCTTGCCACTGGGCCACCACCCCCGGTGGTAAACACACTCTAACTTTGATGGAGTATTAATTAGTCATCTAATAATTTGTTTGAACATTTCAACAATTTAACTTGTCAAATGCAATGCGATTACAAGTTAAATCATTTAAATGTTCTAACAAATTATTAGATGGCCAAAGTGATACTCTACTAAAATTTAAGTATGTTAAATGAAATTTTGCCTAGATCTGGATGCATTGAATAGCATTCGAAAAATCTAGATGCTATATTTTCAAAAGCCGGGGTGCAATTAGCATCTGTTCCAGTTGGATGGCAACATTACAATATTATTTAAATTTGTGGAACCCATAACAAAGAAAGAAAAGTTGCATCTGCTCCCCTGTTGGATGTCAATGTTATAATATTATTCGTGGAACCCATAATAAAAAGGAAAAGTTGCTGATGCCAAGTAGATGCTTTATGCGGATGAAAGTAATAACGGATGGATGCTAGGTTTCAGATAAGGCATAGCGAATGACCATGACCAAAGGACCAAAAGTAGGAAGAGTTCACAAAAATTATCCATTTTTATGCCCCAAATCATATGGAGCTTAAGAGAAAGAACCAGGCCTTATTATTCTCACTTGCGATCTTCATTATCCTCTGGTGTCCATGTTGTTGTGCTGAATTTGATGAAAATATCACCCACAATAACAGTCTGGGTGCATTGGAGGAGGATGTGGTTCATGTTGGAGTAATTCTTGATATGACTTCTTGGGCGGGAAAGATTGGCCATACAAGCATTTCCATGGCCGTTTCTGATTTCTACTCCAAGCACAGTCACTACAAAACAAGACTCGTTCTCCATACAAAGGATTCTAGAGGAGATCCATTCTGTGCTTTATCATCGGGTGAGTTCTATATTTGTCGAAAATATACATTAATTCAATATTTTAATTAGTTACTTTTCACCTTTAAGTCTCTTCAACAAGCTACACGAGTACATGTACCATATAAAATATCAAAATGCAAAAGGAACAGATTAGAAACACCCTGGTCAAGGTAATTAATTATCATACTGATACAATCATCAGAACCCACACAAATTTGGCATATTCTGTTTAAGCATTATAACCAGCATCATATATAGCCAGTGCTATATATGCATGCTCCAATTCAAACAAAAGTATAATGAAACTATGAAAAGGCATGTGTCCTCTTTCATTTAATGAAGGTTTGGGGAAACACCCTGAAAGCCAACATTATCGTTAATCAGTATAATATAAATAATTACGGAAAGGTTAAATTTTCATGTCTGTTTCGGCTTCATTTCTTTTTACCCCTTTATTTTTTCGGTCAAACTAGGATCACCCTTGAAAAAAAAAATAAAAATTTGACCTCCTAAACTTTTGAATTCTGCGGTATACCCCCTCTGGTTGACCCGATTCCGTTTCCATTATCAGAATTTAACGGAAGTCCTGGATGAAGGACACTTGGCAATATCTGGTTCATTCAATATTTCCTTTATTTTTCTGCAAAAATTAAAACAAAAATTATTTATATCTTTTTCTTTAATTTCTAATAAGCATAATTTTTATTTTCTAAAACAGTGAGAATTTTAACATAGAAAAAAAAAGAACAAAAAAAAAAAGCAACACTACGATGACGACCACCACCACCACCAACAAGAACAAGACCAACACCAACCAGGCAAACACCACCACCACCACCTCCACACCACATCCATCACCACCAACAGCATCCACCAACCATCATCCAAAAACCCACATCGAGGCGCTGGAGGAGGAAGCAAGCCATCCTTTTTTTTTCTTTCAAACAAACCCATGTAATGGCCATAAAAAACCCCATCTATGCTTTTTGTTAGATTGATTAAGGGATAACTAAAACTGATTGTGCCGATGTTGAGGTGGGGCTTTTTCCCCTCGGATTTGCCTCAGGCACAACGTACAATGAGGAAGCGGTGTTGATTGGTGGTGGTGGTGTTGGTGGCGGAGCGGATTCAGAGCTGATTCGTGGTGGTGGTGATGGTCGATAAGGAAAAGGAGACGAAAAGAGGGTGAGGGAGAAGAAGATGGGGACACACAGAGAGATGAGATGGCCCTCAGTCTTCTCGCATCCAGCTCCTCATCGACACCCCATAGACCATGTGACAGACGGTGACTACCAGAGGCAACAGCGTTAAGGCGGCGGCGGCGATTTCAATTAGTGGTGGCGACGAGTGTTTGGTGAGGGAAGAGAGTATGGAGGTTGGAGAAGAAAAGAGGAGGAGGAGGGAAGACAAGTAAAAAAAAATAAAAGAAAAGATGGGTGAAGGAGAAGAAAAGAGGGAGAGAAAAAAAATAAAAGAAAGGAAAAAAATAAAAGAAAAGTAGGGTGAATAAGAAGTAAAGAGAAAAAAAAAGAAAAGAAAATAATTTTATGAGACGCCCCGACCCGTATTTACCGTACACAGTAAACACGAGCCGGAATTGTGACAACCCAACCAAATAAACCCAAGCATACAGTGAGAACAACAATAACTCGGGCCCAACGGCCCAAAACAGTAAACAACATAAATAACATATCCGGCCCAATGGCCCAACAATAGTGAAGACATGCACAGCGGAAGACTTAAAGACTCACTAACACTGTATGCGTAATAGATGCAACCTATGGATCCAAGCCCGTCCAAGGGATAACGCCGCAGCCTGTCTGGAATGCACCAAGCCTGTACAACAAACATTTCATCCTACGGGATGAAACCCCGCAGGCGAGGGGTGAGTCCGAAGCGCTCACCGACGAAAGATAAACAGTGATATATAATCAACCATAATACTTTCGAAGTAAACTCAACAATCACAACAATAAGCACAAACAATCACATCACAAGGATACTACCATAACAACTGACACATACTACACGACAGAGGAATCCAACTCAAACAACACATCAGAGGAAACTCACTAAATCATATCTAAGCCATGACCATCTAATACTGACTGTACCGTACACTAGTGCCCGATCAGGACACTTCAACTCTACCACATGTTGGGTAACCGACCCAATCTCAACAGACTATACTACACACACTCTAGTCCTGACAGACTATACTCAACTAAGGTTCCTCATCGTATGTTGACTTACCGCTACTATGCTTGCTGATCATCTAACCCGGTACCAAAACAATCTCAACATCTCGTGAGCCTCGCTCACCGGGTAGCCGGCAACCAGCACGGACCATACCTAATCAACATCACAAACCGGTCCCCGGGTAGGATCACAACACAACACGACAACAGCAGTCACCACAACAACTTGTAAAAAAACAACATCAACAATACTCAATATCCGATCAAAACGACAGGAGATACTCATCCAACAATTATCAAAAGAAGCCAACAAATAAAGGACAACTGGCAACCGATGCCCACGACAATGGACTACTCACAACCAACGACAATAATTAACACCCGTAAACCGGCAACCTATGCCGACCACGGTCAACCGACCAAGCTGAGGTCTGACAACATCCAAAGGAATGATCATGAGACATCATGCAAATGAACATATCACATCATAGCCCAATAAGCAAAAGCATATTTCAAACAACACTGAGCCAAGACCAAAAGAATATTTATTATTATTTCCAATTTTATCTTCCGGGCCCGTCACTGGACAAGCTAGGGTCGTACCTGGTTATTAACTAATTCTGGATGCCAGGCCCCACCACAATCCGGGATCAACATCCTCATATCTCAAATCCGGGATCAACATCCCAATATCTCAAATCCGGGATCAACATCCCAATATCACAAATCCGGGATCAACATCCCAATATCACAAATCCGGGGTCAACACCCCAACCAACTAACCCACTGGCCATGACACCACAGAACTAGTCTCTAACCATCTAGTCGTACCACTACTTTCCAAATGACAAATATATCATCTCAAATACAATCCAATTCCATTACTCTTTCATCAGTTATCCAATTTCCAATTTCCTCAGATTAATCCAAATCTCACTCAATCAACAATCTCATATCACCAATCTTTCACATCAAACAGTTCAACAATATTTCCAACACAACAATACAGGACTAACACGTTTCTACAACAGCATCAATAATTCCATAGCAATCATGTAACAGTCAACAATCATTCCAGCAGATCAAACAAACAATAAAAATACACAAACCACAAAACTACACACACAGCATTACGGGCACATATCAGGGTTTATCCATCCTCACCTTGGCCGATTACTCAACTCCGGAAAACAATGTCCGGTACGACGCCGGCTCCTCGGGAAACTGCCCGACATCAAAACCTATACAACAAAACAATACATACACATAAATGCACATAAGAGTATGTCATGATGCTAATTTTACGAAATATACACATCCCGGTTACTCATCTTTTATTATTATCATTTATCGAAAATAATTAACCATACGTATATCCGAATATAATTTCGGTACCATACTTTAATTAAAACTCTTTCCAAAATATTTTCATAAATTAATTATACTTCCCAAAATAATAATCATCATAATTTTCCAGACGAAATAATATATATATTAAATTCTCAGAAATTCATTCATGGTATATATTTTTTTCCAAGTAATATTAGTTTTTCCCAAATCATAACTTAATTATTTATCAAAGTAAATATGTTCATATTTTTCTCAAAATACCAGAATTAAATTGTCCCTAATTTTCTCAAAGTAAATATATAATTTTTTTCCAAAATTATATACCAGATTAATAAATAAATACGTATATAAATATATTATTTCTCTCTCTCTTTTTTTTAACTGGACTGGGCCATGAACAGTAAGCCCATGCCCAGCCCAGAACAGTCAAGCCCACAAACTGAATCCAAAAACCCAGCAGGTCCAGCCGCGGCCCAAGCACCAAGGCCCAAGCCACAAGGACAGGTCCAGCAAGCCCACGGTCTCAGCCCTCAGCCCGACCCGTTTGAAACCGGATCACTCACCCACAACCCGGTACTTCACGGGTTCCTGCAAATGATGGCGCGTCGGTGTCG